GAAGGGCAAATAGGAAGAATAAGGCCATATATAGCCAATATTTCCATAAATTTATGGGGCCGTGACCTGCTACAGCAATGGAATACCCAGATTAACATTCCTGTAGTTCCAGGAACTCATAATTCTGGGAAGGATATGATGAGGTATTATGGAAAAAGGTCACCAGCCATTCAGGCTGTACAAGAACATACAGCAAATACCAAACCTTTAGAGGTACCAACAGCCCTACCTTTAAAATGGCTAACTGAGAAGCCAATATGGATCAAACAGTGGCCTCTAGCTGAAGATAAACTACAGGCATTGGAACAGCTCGTGCAAGAGCAACTAGATGCTCACCATATTGAAGAATCAACCAGCCCTTGGAATTCTCCTGTGTTTGTTGTAAAAAAGAAATCTGGTAAATGGAGAATGGTGACAGATCTAAGAGCTGTCAACAAAGTAATTCAACCTATGGGCCCACTACAATCTGGAATTCCTTTGCCTTCTCTGTTACCAAAAGGATGGCCTCTTATAGTTATTGATTTGAAAGATTGTTTTTTCACTATACCGGTACAAGAAAAGGATAGAGAAAAATTTGCCTTCACAGTGCCTACTTATAATAATTCTCAGCCTAATAGGAGATATCAATGGATTGTCCTCCCACAGGGTATGCTCAATAGTCCTACATTGTGCCAATATTTTGTAAGTAAGCCATTGGAAATAATTCATAAACAATTCCCCAAGTCCATAATTTATCATTACATGGATGACATCTTGTTATCTGATTCAAATAAAGATACTTTAGAAAGGATGTTTGAAGAAGAAAGTCTTGCCTAGGTGGGGATTACAAATTGCCCCTGAAAAGATTCAAAGAGGAAATTCTATTAATTACCTAGGTTACAGAATAGGGTTAGAGAAAATTAAAACGCAAAAGGCACAAATTAGGAGAGACCGGTTAAAGACTCTTAATGACTTCCAAAGATTGTTAGGAGACATTTCCAGTCTACGACCAGCTGTTGGGATAACACCTGATCTAATAGTTCATTTAAACCAAACCTTAGATGGTGATAAAGATTTGAATAGTCCAAGAAAACTGACAGCTGAAGCAGAAAAGGAACTGACAATGATTGAGGAAAAATTACAGGAGGCACATGTGGATAGGGTGAACCCAAATCTTAGCTGCATCCTAGTCATATTGCCTTCCAGAATTTCTCCTACAGGGATTCTAATGCAGAGGGAAGATATTATTTTAGAGTGGATATTTATACCTAATAAACCAAGTAAAAAATTAAAAACTTATGTGGAAAAAGTCTCTGAATTAATTATAAAAGGTAAGCTGAGACTTCGTCAACTAGCAGAAATTATAGTGCCGTTTACTACTGAAGAAATAAAAAAGTTATGGGAAGACAATGAACTGTGGCAAGGAGCTTGTGCTAATTTTTTGGGAGAAATTAATAGCAACTATCCCAAAAGTGGTAGACTTAACCTCATAAAAAGAACTTCTTGGATTCTTCCTAGAATTGTACGTGATGCTCCAATAACTGGAGCCCGTACGTTCTATACTGATGCAAATAAATCAGGGAAAGCAGGTTACAAGTCAGATGAATTGAGTAAGGTGGAACAAAGCCCTTATAATTCTGTCCAGAAGGCAGAATTATATGCCATTCTTATGGTGCTAAGGGATTTTAAAGAACCTCTTAATATAGTTACAGATTCACAATATGCAGAAAGAGTTATCTTGCATATTGAAACCGCTGAATTTATACCAGATGACACAGAGTTGACTTCATTGTTTATCCAGGTACAAGACATAATCAGGAACAGGCTTTGTCCGATGTACATAACACACATCCGGTCCCATACAGGTCTGCCTGGTCCTCTAGCCCAAGGCAATGCTGAGATTGATCAATTATTGATTGGAAGTGTGTTGCAGGCCTCAGAATTCCATAAGAAGCATCATGTCAATAGTAAAGGGCTAAAGAAAGAATTTTCCATTACTTGGCAACAAGCTAAGGACATTATAAAGAGATGTCCTACTTGGTCTTTCTATAATCAAACACTGTTGCCTGCAGGGAGTAACCCAAAGAGTACTAAGAGAAATGAAATCTGGCAGATGGATGTGTTCCACTTTATGGAATTTGGTAAATTAAAATATGTACACCATACCATAGACACGTATTCAGGTTTTCAATGGGCTACTGCCCTGAGCTCAGAAAAGGCTGATTCAGTAATCACACATTTATTGGAAGTTATGGCCATCATGGGTATACCTGCACAAATAAAGACAGATAATGGTCCAGCATATGTATCTAAGAAAATGAAATGCTTTTTTGATTATTATAATATAAAACACATTACAGGTATACCAAATAATCCTACAGGTCAGGCAGTTATAGAAAGATCAAATTGTACTATAAAGGATATGCTGAACAAACAGAAAGGGACCGAAAATACCCCCAGAAATAGATTACATAATGCTTTATTAACCTTGAATTTTCTTAATGCTAATGAGAAAGGAACAACAGCAGCAGAAAGACATTGGATAATGGAAAAGTCTGCTGAACTAAATCAACGGATTTATTTCAAAGATGTGCTGACCTCTCAATGGAAGCCAGGAGATGTGCTACGTTGGGGAAGGGGTTTTGCTCTTGTTTCCACAGGAGAAGAAAAATTGTGGATACCATCAAAATTAATAAAGTTTCGATTTGAAGAGGAGAAACCTCTTGGAAAGGAGAAATGACAACTCATCCACAATGATGATATTCATACAGGTGGTAAGAAAAACATATAGAATGGGGGCAGGGTTCTGTTCCTATCTCCACAGGAAAACACTCATCTTTGAAAAATTCAAGGGACCCTGGATGTTTGGATACTGACAGATGGAAAAATACCTGCCCAATAGGAAATATCAAGAAAACTGAATGGGTTGTGTAAGTAATATTAAACCATATTTCTAAATTTATAAAGCTGGTTTTGAAGTTGGACTCTGGCTCAGTCCCTCTCCAATTCCAAGCCTGTTAGTAAGAGAAAAACCCAGAGTTTCTGGAGTTTCTGTCTCATGTCAAGAGCCATGATATGGGATAGAAAAAATATGAGTTTAGAAAACATCTTTGCTTTTCTTCATATCTATCATACTTTACATTGAATATATCTATCATGCCTTTCAGTGAATATATACATATATGTCTATATGATTAATGTTTTAAGTTTTTCACAATGAACAATGAGTTTTTCCTGAAGTGACATTTGAAGTTTCCAGGAAGAAGATGGGGCCCCATAACAACAACTCCACCTGGTTGATATGACGTCATGATACTGATAGCACTACTACAAGACCTGCTTTGGGTACCAGCTGCACAAGACAGTTCCCACTTGGTTAGCTGAAATGGTGCACATCTTATACAACATTTTGGCCAGACCTGCAGAAAAATACTCAGAGACTATTTGCAATTTTAAAAGACATTGATCTTGAAATCTAACCATCATTTTACTTTCCCAGGATCCCCCAGAAAGAACGTCGCCCCTATGACAGCTGGAAGTAATTCTAGTGGACGATGTCCCCTCTCCCAGTAAAGTTTGCCCTTGGGTTTAGGGACATCATTTAGGGGTTGATTATAATTAGTATACGATTGAGGGTTGGGGAAGGAATTTTATAAGCTCAGGGATCATTTTGAAAAAAAAAAAGAGGGATGATGGGATAATAGATTTGTAATTGTGAGTTACTGTTTTTAGACAAATATATTGGTATAGATTCTTGTATATTGATACAAAGTTAAATTATATTGACTATTGTATGCATGCATGTTTCTACTTCTGTTTAAAACATTTTTTATGTATTGACATATATTGGATTGATATATATATAGTATATATTTATCATATTGCAGTGTACATTTCTACCTCTGATTAAGATACTTATATAATATGTGCATTGATATATATTTGATATATTGATGTATATTTGTACATTGTTTATATTGGGAGGTCATTGTCCTCATTTGTTTCACAGTCATTTATTTTCTTAGTCTTTAAGTTAGATAGATATTGAGAATTATATAGATTAATAGTCATCTAAGTTTGTCATTTATAATTAGACTAATCAGGTTCTTTAGATATATAGAGATTATACTCAGTATAGATAGATAATCTTCAACTTCTTCAAAGAGCTGTAGAAAATAGCCTTTAATCTAACTCAGAGTTTTGTGGTAGTGAGACACAATTGCTCCTGGCAACACCACTCTATTCCCGAGAGAATGTTGAGCACCAAAGACACTCCACCTGGAGCCTTTCTTTTTGGCAGAACTGGCCTTTGGGCAAAGAAATGCCCATACCTCAACGACTGACAAAGATACAGAGCGTGCATCAATAGATAAAACAGGACTATCATATCCTGCCAAGACAGGGTAAGATAGTTTTGAAAAGTTGCTTGCCTTAGAAAATGGTATGTCAGTTATGTTAGGTCTTAGCCAATGTTGGTTGCTTCAACGCTGCTAATGTGACTTTGGGTGATTGCCCAGGTAGTTAGTTGTCTCTGTGATTTGTTGCATGTTTTAGAAGTTGTTTTACTGAACTTCCTAATTACCCAGGTAACATTATTTCCCTTCTCAGATCTTCGATGGGGTTGAAGACTATATAAATGTAGTTACTTTCTCTCATGACTTGGCCAAGTTATTTATTATACAAGACCAAGCTAGTTAGAACAGGATATTTGTACTTATTGTATATAATTTCATAGTAGGTTTAGAACTCTCTTATTTAAACAAAAGAGGGAGGTGTTGCGGGAGGTCCTCCCACTCCTCTAGCCTATAGCTGCTGAGATACCAGCCCATTGGGGCGTGGTCTCTCTCCCTTTAAAAAAGCGGCCACTTCCCTCTCCTCTCTCTCTTCACTTCCTGCTCCGCTGGCGACTAGACTCCCTTCCTGGTTGCATAGAGGGCTGTTGCCTGGGACAGTGATCTGTAAGTTTTTTCCCCTTTAAATAAATACCACCCTATTAATCATAATTCCAAACTGGTGTGGCATTGTTTGTGACTTACGCCTTCACCGGGAGAACAAAAAAAATTCATAATAGGGTTTTCAAAAAAAATTTTTTCTCCTCTACCACATCTTTTCTGCCAGGTCATTATTCCCTAAACACAACTATATTGTAACAACTATTTACACAGCAATTAAGTATTAGGCATTCAAAATAATCTTGAAATAATTCAAATAATACCTGGAGGATGGGAGTTCTAAGGCAACACCACCATTATAGGACTTGAGTATCCTTGCATTTTGCTATCTGCTAGAGAAACCTCAGGACAACATAATGTGCTTAGCACTAGAAGGTGGCAGCAAATAAGATACCCAAGCAGATTCTAGTAGCCAAATGTTAGAGAGGCAGAGGCTAGCAGGATAAAATGCAGAGGGGAGGAACCAGCAGGTGTAAAGGCCTGCAGGAGACAAGAATGTTTAGTCAAAGGACTCAAAATACATAGAGCAACGAGGTCAGGCTAAGAGGGGCTATGGCTGCGGAAATAGCCACTCCATCCTTTACAGGTGACTCTCCTCTTGAACCTTAAACTTGGAAGAAACCAAAATGGTAGGGTTGTGGTACCCAGAACGTCAGTTTCATTTGAATAGCATCATTGGATGAACCCCTTTCTAACCCTGGCTCAAACAGTACCCATGAGACAAGTGTTTCTACAGCTTCCATTGTACAGGTGAGCAAACAGACTGGCCGGCACCTTGTATCTTGAGGGTTACAGTGTTCCTTTATGTAAATGCTTTTTCGTTCTAGCCTTGCCTTCGAATTGAAATAAGACACAGAAAAGCTTTGTTTCCTTGCTTTCTCTCTTTCTTTTTTAATAGAGCCACTTAGACACGAGGCATTATGAATTTGCTGGACTTGTGGCTCCCTCCAGTTCCGCCTGGACTGTTCAGGAAACCTAGGAAGGGACAATGGTTATTGCCTAAAGGGCAAGTGGCTTCACAAAATTCCCCACGTCTATTCTGGTTCTCCCTCTGGGGCAGCTCTTAGATACCATCTTCTGCCAAATAGAGTTTGCTTCTCAGAAGCTGTAAGAAGTGGGAGGTTAGGGAAAAAAAAAAAAAAACCTGTATCAACCACTGCAAAATCCCCCAGCAGCCTGAGCACAAAGGGTTTGAGTTCTGAACAAAGGGCTGGGTGAGACTGGAAAGAAAATGCTGACACATGCCCTCTCCAGCTGTGAACTGGGGGTCTGAGGGCTGCTGCAAAGGTCATCTGTCTCCACATCTCTGGGCAGGAAATGCAATTCAATCCTTCCAGTGACTGATCACTTTACAAGATTAATGGAAATGTCTCCATGGCTCTGTTCTGACAGCACAAAAAGTGAATCAAACTTCTCCCCTGGCCGCCTACTCAGCGAGGTCAGCTGATTCCTTGTCTTTAAAAGTTCAAAACTTTCCTCCAGGACGTCTTCCCTGACGTTCCTTTGATAGAAGAGATCTGCCTCCAGGGTTGGACCAAAGTCAGCACCTGGAGGTGGGCGGACTTTCTGAGGCTCTTCTGTCTTTGCTTCATCTTTCAAAATAAAAGACATGCAAAGGGTTAACTGCCAGCCTTCTTGTCCATCCCTCAAGGACTGTCAACCAGTGACAACCGAGCATGATGAAGTAATGCATGCCTTTTCATTTCCATTGGCTATCATACACGTCCATCAATCCCAAGATACAACTTTTGAAAGAATCTTTGAACTTTTATGGCTCTCTCCACAGCATTAACCCTTTAACTCACCTGTGGCCTCGAGGGTTCTTCCCATCCGTACACAGAAAGGGAAACAGGACGTAAAGCAGGATTCTATAGAGAACATTAAACTTTCCCCCAAGGATCAGGCCTGAGTCTTTGTACAGTTTTGTTTTTCCTTTTTGACTTCAATCCACAAGAGACTGAGGACTAAAAAACAAACAATCATTTTAACAGAAACAGCTCGGTCTGCTGATATAGTAAAGCAAAGTAGGTTTTAAATTCTAAAAGGGATACAAAGTAGAATAAAACTTGTCTTAGGATTTGCCAGTGCTGGCTCTTGCACACACAAGGTTTTACTGTGTTTAATTTCTCTTCCTGCTCCCTTCTATCCCCTGGCATGCTGTGGACTGAACCCAGAGCCTCTACATGCCAGCAAGCGCTCTCTATTCCTGAGCTACACCGCTAATGTGGCATCCATTTCTGAGGTTGTGCACCTCCATGGTACAGAGGTGGGAAGTCACTACAGCATCTAGAACCAAATTCAATCCTTCAGATCTGGATCAGGCACTATTCATACATATGTGTGGTTAAAGTTTCACAGGGTACCGAAGAATAACTACTTTACTCATTTTTCTTCGCCTATTGTTGTGTCTTTCCAAAGAAAATTCAATTTATATAAATGGTTACATATAGCCAGACTGTGGTGGCACACGCCTTTAATTCAAACTATTGGGAGGCAGAGGCAGGGGGAATCTCTGAGTTGGAGGTCAGCTTGGTTTACACAGTGGATTCCAGGACATCCAGGGCTACACAGAGAAACCCTGTCTTGTTAAAACAAAGAATAAGTATTGATCTTCTTTGATTTACCCAAGTAGTGATCAACATTGAGTATTCTGTATCTTATTTTTACTTAAGGATATCATCAAGTCATTCCATGTAAACATATATTTTCTTCTATTCAATGCTGACCATCAAACCAAGAGCCTCGATTTAATTTTTTTGTGTGTGTGTTTTTGACAGGTCCTGAGTTTATCCATAGGATGCAGATCATCCCTTGGACGTTCATTTTTAAGATGTGGGCAAGTGAGCCAGCCCCACCCAAACTGGTACCTGGCCAGGCTCACAGGCATAGGAGCAAATGCTTTGAAGTCTAAGGCTGCAGAATTCACACTGTACCATATGAGCTCTCCCGTATAACCATTGCTGGGATCTTTGCCTCCATGGGCTCTTCATTCATTCAATTACTGTTTTGGGATAGTTGATTACAGAGATGCTAAGTCAAATGGGACCTTGACTCATGCATAAATAGCTTGGTAGGTACTTTAAGAGCAATAGTGGCAAATACCCTAAGGCGTCATTGTTTTAAGTTTTCTGCTTGCTTGCAGCCCTGGGATTGGATCCGGGGCCTTGCACATTGTGCTAGGCAAGAGCTGTCTCACTGAGCTAGAACTCTAGCCCATTAATCTTTTTTTTTTTTTTTATTTTGAGATAGGTTTTCATTATATTGCTCAAGCATGCACTACCATGCCCGGCTTAAATATGAATATTTTTGCTACAAGTGTATTTTAATAGTAGAGTGAGTTCTTGGTTATCATTATAAGTAGCTGGGTTCTACCCCATGAGCACGTGCGTACGTGTACACACATCAGAGCAACTGTAATTGACAGCATAGGTATATAATATTCCTATCTTTTTTATGTCATAATCCCACAGGCAGGCTTACACAGTGGCCAGTCTTGTGTGCTGTGGATACAAGCTCTTGGTTCAAATCCTATAGCGAGAGTATCATTGTGGTCAAACAACTTAGCATTTCTTTGAGCCTTAGCTACAAATGGGGAGAAATTGGCTAAGATTTAAAGAGATGGCAGATAGGAAAGGCTTTGCCCACAGACACTGTAAGTTCTTAAAAGCCTGGAGCTAGAAAGCTGCGAGAGTCCAGAGGCAGGAGGCTCATGCAGAGTTTGAGATCTGCCTAGTTTACATAACAAGTTCCAGGCTATCTAGGGCTCAGGAGAGACCCTGTTTTACAAAGAGGACAGCCAATGATCTGAGAACGGTTTGTTTTTTTCTCAGTCCAGATGAGTGCTCCATCCAGAATCGCAGTCATCCTGTTAAACCATGTCTGCCTCCTCCCACCCCACAGTGTGTGTGGTGTATGCGTGAGGCTGCTCCGTCCGGGTTTTCTCTCTGTGTGTAACTGAAGCTGTTGCTTCTATGTTTTCTGTCTTTGAGCAGAGGATGGAGGGAACGACTGAATGAGTAGAACATAGACAGGCAGGATTCGACTGGGCCTTTTACAAGACCTAGCAGGAAGATACAGGAAGTCATTATTACTTTGTTTCCAGTGGGGCTGGCTTGGTTTTTCTGCATTAAAAGTTCATCTTTTCTCTTCCTGTCACCTATTCTAAGCTCCTGGGGGGACAATCAGCCAAAGTTACAGCTCAAGGGTCTGGCCCTTCCCCCTCTGGTCCAAAATAACCTCCTCTGCCACTTGGAGCGAATGCTTGGAATTCTTTCAACTGAGGACAGAGCCTTTCATCTGCCAATTACTGATAAAGAGAAAATGCAAATACGCTGGAGAAGGTGATCCATCAAGGGTCCAACGTTTACTGAGTGACCACTTAGACCCAGCAGAGGGGTAGGCATTCTGGAGGAGTCAAAGGGGAACAAACTGCCGGCTGGCCCGTTCTTTTAGGTTTGTGGTTTCCTGGAGGTCTGTAAAGGGAGGGGACTATATCAGGTGACTAGTCAACAACCCCTCCCCACTCTCTACACGCCCGGAGGTGATATGTGGACTTAACTGCTTTTATATGAAGGTGACTAACATTAAACTTTTTCCTAATGCCACTATTTTGGGGGTTTCTAGGAAGCCAAAGGGGGAGAAAGAGCCTTAGGGAGGAAGATGAAGGACGATCAAGTGTCCCATTTGACAGTTTTGCTTTAAGTCTGCACTGATTCTCAATTCAAGCCCTCCTTTAAACCAGGTTTATTTCATTGTGAAGCATAAATGAAGGTGGTGAACATTTTAAAAGGGCCAGCTGTTTGCCGGGCGGTGGTGGCACACGCCTTTAATCCCAGCCCTTGGGAGGCAGAGGCAGGTGGATCTCTATGAGTGTGAGGCCAGCCTGGTCTACAGAGAGCGAGTTCCTCCAAAGTCAAAGAAAAACCCTCTCTCAAAACCCACCCCCCAGCCGGGTGGTGGTGGCGCATACCTTTAATCCCAGCACTTTGGAGGCAGAGGCAGGTGGATCTCTGTGAGTTCCAGGACAGGCTCCAAAACCACAGAGAAACCCTGTCTCGAAAAACCAAAAAAAAAAAAAAAAAAAAAAAAAAAAACAAACCCACCCCCCAAAGGGGCAAGCTGTGGGATTGTGGGTGAATGGTTTTGCCTTTCTGATCTGTTTACAAAACAGACCTACAAGTCAAGAAGACATTTCCTTTAAAAGATTCTCAGAAGAGGGGGCAAATAAAAACGATCCATGTCATTTATTTATTTATTTACTTTTGGTGTTGAAACCAGGGCTTTATAGTTGCTAAGCCAAACTCCATCCCAGTGGTCCCAGGTTTTCAATAGAGGGTTGGTTAGAAAGACTGCCTACTGGGTGCAGCTGAAAGCTATGAAGATGTGATTTCAGTTTGGTGACAAAGTTGGAAGCTTGTTGCCTCATGCCAAGGTAAAAGATTTCTGCTGCTAACATGCGTGGATGGAATTAAACTTCAGAGACTAGCTTTGGGCACAGGCAGAAAAAGGGAAGGACATTCTAACGTGAGGGAGGGAGAAGTATATTGTCTCTGAGGGTGAGTCAGGGCTCACAGCTCAGCTCAGGTGGCAAGGCCACTTCCTCCCCACATCTGTCTGAGCTAACGCTTGTTGACACTGGGACAAGATAAAAAGAACAACTACCCAGATTCATAATTTCTTGCATCGAGGCTTCTCAATGTGCAAACTGACCTGCTTTAACTTGTGTACTGGGCAAGAAGCTGCAATCGGCACCTCCTAGGATCATCTAAGGGGTCTCGGAGTATTCCTGGTGCTATGTTATAGGCCTTGCAGGACACACAGGCTGGGTGGGAACTAAGTTTAGGGCTAGCTTTTCTCATAATTAAAATGGACCTGATTTGTCCATTTTGGTATTTACAGGATCACCCAGGTCCAATTCTGGGAGCAGTCACAAGCACTACTTAAGGTGACGGAGGAGCATGGGGGGGGTCTGATATTCTGTGCATATTCAGAGGGTGCCCCTACCTCCGCTAAGAAACAATATGGCTTAATCAGGGTGTGCTATCTCAGCAAGCCGCGAACATCCTCACCGCTTTACTATTAAATTGCCAAACAAAGAGCTTACCTTTCTCCTACATGTGAGTTGCATTACAGACGCTAACTCGGATTCTCTATTTCCCTCCTGTATATCGATTTATCTCTTCTCAGCGAGTGTAGAGACTTTTTTCTTTTCTTGCCCAACTTCTTATTTCAGGCTCTTCAACTGAGGCTGTCCGAATGAATGAATAAATGAAAGGCTGTCTTCCGGTCAGCTGCAAGCTGAAAAGGCTGTGGACTGGCTGTATTTCCTGTACCTATGCGTGTATGCCCATATTATTATTTCAGTCCGGAGAAAAGTTATGCAGTCTATACGGATACAGAGCTGCGCTAATTTCTTTCTGAGCCCCTTAGATACCTCTTCCATATGGCAGGTTCGCAAATGGATAGGGGTTTGGACAGGCTGGCCCCTCCCCCCTAGACATGCAGTATAAAAGCAAAATCAGAAAAAGAAATTATACGTACAAAATACTTTGAATTTAGGTCGCCAGCACAGGTAATAAGGTGAGGTAGACTCAGGAAGAAAGGGGAGCCGTGGGTAATCCGAGAAAGGGGGCAGGGGCAGAGGTGGGGGGTCGTTTTGGGGGGTGCCAGGCCCCGGGGGCTTTCAAGCCAGCAGGCTCGGCTAGCATTTCCGTGCCTCCCGCTGAGGCCATCCGTGCAAAGCTGCACCTCCCTCTCCACCCCCTCCTCTCTTTCCCTCCCTCCCTGCCCCGCCATCTCTGGGATGCGCCCGCCGCCTGCAACTCAACCCTCCAAAAGTCAGCTCCCGGGCGGCGGCGGCGCCTGCGTGCAGAGGCGCACTCGTGACCCAACAACAAAACAGCGATGCCAAGGCGCTAACGGCGCCGGGTGCGTCCCAGGCTCCCTTCTGGCCCCACACCTCCTACGGCTGTGGTCCCCGACACCCCCAACCCGAGCCCCCCTTCTCCCCAACTAGCCCTGCCGCAAGCTCCGAGCGCGATCTGCAACAATGTTTACGTTCCGGGGATTATGACGTCGACGCCTCCCCCCCACAACTGCTGAAAATGGTTTCCTAGGACTTTGCAAACGGATCTGCTTAAGTGTTGGTGCAAAACTTTGTAGATATCGGCTCTGGCTTGCTCTATTTATTTATTTTTTGGTTTCTTTTCTTTAGTCTTCCCTCCTCTCCCCCTCCGCCAAAATGCAGGGGGCAGGAGTGTTGACAATTAATTGGTGAACTCTCCTAAAAAAATGGAGGCAGAGAAAGACTCTGGAAGAAGATTGGTGTGTAGCTTTTTTTTTTCCCCCAAATCTGTATCTGGTATATGATCGATTATTTATTTATTTTTTTGGTTGTTTCTTGCTGCCTTTTCTTTCCTTTTCTGTATTTTGCAAGAGGACCGGAAAAAAATAATAAATTGCATGCAAAAGGAAGCAAGCAGCTTACTCCTCCAGTCTCTTGTGAGGCTCAGGGTCTCAGACACTTAAGTGGGGAGGAGGTCGCGCCGAAAGGCGTGGAGGGGGCTGAGCGGGCTTGGGGTTCGCCTGTGATCTGGGGGGTTGCGGGGCTCGGGGCTCGGGGCTGGGCGGCGGAGGGAGGAGGAAGAGGGATGCGGGGAGTGGTGGGGGAGACTCCTTAGGAAGTGAGTGTGCGCGCGCGCTTGTGGGGAGATGAGGCAGCTGCTGGTGCGTTTTGGGGTCTCTGATGGAAGCTTTGTGGTGGGCCAGCTGCCTCTCTCTCCCCAAGCTCTTAACCGTCTCCCCTCTCCTCCTCTTCTTGCACTAGCGGTCGGTCGGCGGGGGCGGCTAGGGTCTCAACCCTTCCGTTTCAGCTTTCCAGCTTTTCTGTAGCTCCGGAGCGGCTCCAGCTTTAGAAATGCCGCCGGCCCTGGGTTCCGGCTTCCCGTGTTGGCCGCTGTGGCCGCCGGGGCTGCTGTTACCGCTGAGCCGGGCGCTGCAGCGGCTTCTCTCGGGGCCTACATCTGCCCCGCCAGCTCATGCCCCGAAACCCCTTTAGGGGTTACATAACCAGGCTCCCTGTGGAGCGGGCAAAGCGCTGGACATCACTGGGGTAGGGGCAAAGGAAAGCCCCCAAATAGCATTTCCACGTCTTCAAAAGATGCAGGAAGGGAGTGCTTCGTATATAGACATTTGGGCCTTGGGGGTTTGAGCCCCTTTTTCTGCTTTTCAGCATCTTTGGCATTTGCGCAAAGTTGTTCAGATTGCAATACTGGGGTACAGTGGGCGCGCGGCTCTTGCACCTGTTTGTGGTGGGCCCAGGGTGAGAGGAGACCCCCAAGTCCTCTCAGTAATGTCCCGGGTTCTCTGGTTGGGTCCCGCAGCGTGCGATTGACCGCCAGAGATACGACGAAAACGAGGACTTGTCGGACGTGGAGGAAATCGTCAGCGTCCGTGGCTTCAGCCTGGAGGAGAAGCTACATAGCCAGCTGTACCAGGGGGACTTCGTGCATGCCATGGAGGGCAAAGGTGAGGTGCCCCCTCTCCTGGCTGCAGTCTGTGCAGAGGGCCAGCGCGCACGTGGGGAGGGAGCTGCCTGTGGCTGGGTTCGTATTTCGCGCCCGCGTCCCCCATTCCAGGGGATCCGGTGACGAAACGAGACCGAGCACTGGGGGTGGGGGGGTGGTAAGGGAAGAGGGCAAGCAGGAAGAGGGCTGGGCCTGGCGTGGGCCTAGGCCCTGATTGTACCCATCACTAACATCAGGGTGGTCATTGCCAAGGGGCTAGCCGACTGAGGGACGGGGGACAGACACTGGGACTGAGGGAGGATGTGAGCGCAGCATCCTTTCTCTCCCAAGCCGGTTGCGCTCTCTGCGCTCGCTGCCAGAGGTGCAGCGCCTGGCAGGAACCTTCTGAACGTCCTTGGGACATGGGGTGAGGGCGTATGCTTGGAACCTCCCATACAAACTCCTGTCATCCTGGACTCTGAGGGTTATGAACTGGAATGGGCTTAGGGATTGGAGATAGCAGCATCTTCGGTTAGGGTTACGCCCCTTAGTGGCTTGAGTCTGAGCCTTTGGTCCTTAGTGCCTTTCCCCCTTCGAGGGCCCTGCCCTGCGGCATGGGAGAAGGGACTAAGTGGGCTGTTGGGAGTTGTTGGCACTACACCCTCCTCCCAAGCCTGAGGCCTCTAGCGCTGAGTAGTGGGGTCTAGGTTATATATGTGATGAATTACCCGATCAGGCCTAAAATCCCTGTGCCTTGGCAGTTTGAATGAAGACTTAGGTATCTCTCTGGAAACAGGATTATTTTCCATGCCTGAGATGAGAGCTCTGTGCTCTGACCTTCCCAGTGTGGAGCAGAAGCTGGGTAGGCTCCGGTTTTGTTTTTTTTTTTTTTTTTGCAGAGTGAGGTTGAATATTTATTCAGGGGGTTATGGAGGAGGAAGGGTGAAGGGGGGCAGAGAGAGAAAGTGAGAAAGAGAGGAGAAAGAGACAGAGAAGGGGGGGAAGCAGAGAAGTGGGGAGAGAGGCAGAAGCGAAGCTGCCTCTCTGAGAGGAAGATGGAAAAGAGAGCAGGCTCCGGTTTTGGAGGGACTCCTGGCTTTGGGCTTCTCCCTCTCCTACTGACGGAGTGGGTGTGGCTGAGGATGTTTCTTAGATGTGCTGGGTGATGCTCCTGTTTGAGGCTTGGTTTTAGGAGCCCTGAACCACCCCAGCCAGCGTCCTGGGGTTCCTTTGTGGACCCTGGTCCCAGAACCTATCTTCTTGGCTTTGGGAGCAGCCCTTGCTTACCCAGGCCTTTCTGGAGTGTTTGGATTTTTTTTTTTTTTAAGTTTCCTTTCAATTACTCATTTTCCATTTTGTGTTTCCCATCCCCCTTGGAAACCCCTGTCCTCACAGTGAGCTGACAGCAGGGGCAGTGCCTCCCTCCTCCAGGTTCTGCTTGAGTGGCTGAGGCCTAGAGTTAGCCCTAGAGGAGACTGTCCCGGCTTTGCATTTTTGAAGTTTCTCTTTTGTGCTCATCGCCTCCTGGGGCTCTGGTGGAGTTAGGGAGAAGTGGGGGGAGGGAAGAAGACATTTTTTCCCCCAATAAATTTCACCCAAAAGCAGGGTGCCAGCCCCAACCGCATTTCTATTTTCTCTGTATAAATGGGATTTTAATTTTCCTTTTCTCTCTCCACTTTACTGATCTTGGCAGAGCCTATGAGAATACGGTGTGCAGGCTCTTGGTGGTCATCTGTCAGCAATCCTCCGGCCCATTTGTGGAAGCTGAAACTGTGGGGGTTGGTGGGGAGACAGGGGTATGAGGGCTGGGAACGTTCCATTAGGGAAGGATGGGAAGCATCCTTCTAGCTGCTGTCCTGGCTGCTTTCAAAGGAGAGGGCCTTAGGGTTCTGCTTGTTAATTCAGACCTGGCCCCAAAACTGGAGGGAGGAGTTGAAATGCAGAAGGAACCTTTAGCATGGATTCAAAACAGAAGCTTCTCAGACTTCTCTTCCTTTAAATCCAGAGGAATCCCCATTCACTGGGAGCCCCTGGGGATCTGAGCCTTTGGGGTCAGGGCTTTCCAGGCTCTGGGTTTTGTTCTCTCTCTTCTGAGCCTGTGGCTCTGGCCTCCTCCTCCCCCAGGGCTGCCCTGGTGAACTGTTTCACTGGGACCAAGGCTTCCATGGCTCCAGGACTGTCTTTCTCCTTTCTGACCAGCTTGGAGAGGACCTGTGTTCTTGTTGCCTTGTGTTAGCTGATTTGGGAGAAAGGAGGGTGTGTCTCAGCACCTCTCACCTCCATTGTGAGGGAGATGGTTGGGTCAGAGCCCCTGGCTTGGGAATTGATGAAGGAAAGAAATGAGGCAAAGGCTGAGGGGCTTTGGTTAGGATATTGTGGGTGGGGGCGTCTGTACCATGCAAATAGAAAACTGCCTGGTGAATTTTTTCGGGGAGTGGGGTCTTCCTGTGCTCCATCTTCACAGTTCACTAGCTCATCCCTCCTGGTTATCCAACTGAAGCAAGTATTACGACGGGCTCCAGCAGCATTTCACTATGGGAAGACAACAAAGCTGTGCCCAGTTCCCTAGTTATTTTGGCACCAAATACATAGTTTCCAGGGAAACCGGCTTTTCCCCACTCCCCTTCACTATGCAGGATATTACAATAAGATTTTCCCTGATGTTCAGCTCCAGCGAGAGCCCTCCTCCCTGCTCTCTGTGGGGCTTCAGATCCTCCCAGGTAGCACGCTTCAGTTTTGGTGTCCTCCTGTCCCAACTCTGTTTGGGACCTGTTTGTCTGTCCCTATTTCTCAACAGTAGCTGGTGAGTTTTCAGCACAGAGTTCTTGATTAAGTCTCCTCCGCTGGCCTCGGGCTGTTCATTGACAAGTTGGGACCCGTGGGGCATGCCGAGAATGAGTAGGCAGAAGAGCTGATGGAGGATACAGTTTGGCTTTGCCTTGTCTATCTTATTTCACCACAGGTTTCTTTTGTTTGTTTTATTTTTATTTTGGTTTTATCTTCTAGCTGGTACCTATATCCAGTGTATATGCCTTGTTCTTTATTTATCCCCCCTCACTGATGGGTTGTGGTTCATTTGCTCTTCAATAACTTAACCAAATAATTGTTTTTAATTCAAATATCCAAACAGATTTTAACTATGAGTACGTACAGAGAGAAGCTCTCAGGGTTCCCCTGGTTTTTCGAGACAAGGATGGACTAGGAATCAAGTAAGTTGCTAAATTAACCCCTTCTTCCCTGATCTTCCTCCTCCCTGTCAGAATTTCTAGCTTGGGATGTGTTCTCTCCTGTCTTCTCACACTTCAGCACTTCCAGAAGGACTTTTTCCTAAGACCTGAGAACAGCTTCTCCTTGTTCAAGA